AAACTATAAATGTAATAAATGTAATAAATAAATACCGGTAATTTTAATTTTAATTTTTGAAATTACATAATCACATACAGTCTGGTGCAAAAGTCTTTGGACAAATATTTTTTAACATAACTTCATAACTACTGCGCCAAATCATATGATAAAATATTCATTCGAAAGCCAAAAAGCAGGAGAATTTATTAAAAAAAAATTTAATAGGGAATACGTTCCCCATTTTTTTCAATTATAAGCTTACATCTCTCCTTCATTGAACGAACTAAACTTTTAATAATGTCCTGTGGAATTTTTGATCATTCGTCCTTCATAAAATTTTCCAAATCCCCAATATTTTGTGGCTGCCGCATCTCAACGTTTCTTTTAACGATTGCCCATAAATTTTCTATGGGTTCAAGTCGGGACTGTTAGATGGCCAGTCCATAACAGTTGGAACCTTTTCTTGCAGGAAATCCTTAGCTACCTTGCTCGTATGCTTAGGATCGTTATCCTGCTGGAGTCGCCAATTGTTACGTAGCATCCTCTTGATCTCAGGAAGATGCTTCTTTAATATTTCAACATAGAATTGCCCGGTCATATTCACTCGGAAGCAGTATAGACTGGTTTTGCCCTGATTACAAAATCCATCCCATGCGTTGATTCTTGTCCGGTCCTTTGGGATGCGACGAACTGGCCGTTGACCCTTATACCAATATTCCACAGTGTTACTAAAAAGCCAAAATGATGTTTCATCTGAAAAAAGAGTGCGATTCCAGTCATCATTCATATGCTTTTGAGCCCACTCTATACGTTTCTGCTTATGCAACCTTGTAAGCATTGGGGTTGCAATAGGTCGCTTCTTATCATAGCCAAGGTTGGCTAAATGTCGCAAAACTGTACTATAGGATACGTTTACACCCTTTAGCGACAATTTGGATACCAACTTTCTAGAAGAAACTGCTGGATTTCTTCTAATATATTGTCCAAGAGCTTTTGAATTCTCTGAAGTGATTTTTTTGGGCGACCGGAGCGTTTTTTGTGAGTTACACTTCCGGTTTTTTTCAATTTTTCCAAGTTGAAATATATTGTGGACCTTGGTATATTTGTTCGCCGCCTTATTTCGGCTGCATTCGTAATCCCAGAATTCCACAAATGTTGAATGGTTTGAGCCTGCGCGATCTTGTCGTTAGTCTTCATTTTGTCGCTGAATTAAAAAAAAATTTCCAAGAAAAAGTTAACAATTAAAATGCAAATTGATTGTCCAGATGCTAAACTTTAAATGAAAAAAAGTTTAACTCGATTTGGATTTAAATTGGCTGATCTATGTGACTTTTAATTTTATCGCTGATCGTCCAAAGACTTTTGCACCAGACTGTATATGCATGCTACCTTAGTTATAAATACGTTGCGAGTTCAATTTATTTTTTTTTTTAAAAAAAAAAACTTTAGATCTTTCTCGATTCTCATTATTAGTCCGGAGTGTAACGAAGGACTTATATTGTCTAGAACGCGTAACATCCGATGTCCGCCCGCTCAAAAATTGAGTCGATACGTTATTGGTTACTTTCGTTACACATGCTCCGGACTTAGCAACGGTCCCCGTTCCCTAGTTATATAATATAAAAGTAATTTTTGAATTATGAGAATTATCTATTAAAAATGGTATACAATCAACCCAAATTTTAACACTCATTATTTATTATTCGTCATTTATACCTAGATACATACTAATTTTGCATAATATAAGATTTACTATGCGCTAATTAAGTGCCCAGATTTTTTATAACTTTTCAAAAGTCTATATTTGCATCATCAGTTGGCGTAAGTGTTTATTTTTATTAAAGAAAAAAATTTATATTTTTAAAAAATTTATTGCAACGAGTTTCTACAGAATTTTCTATAACGTTTTTCAATTGCGGTAACGAATTAGGATCCGCATAAGCAGATTTTTTCCTTTTTATTAAAAAAAAAGTTTAATCCTTCTGCAACTGGTTGATATAAACAAGTAGCTTTACCAAATCCGTAGCATGTTTATTTTTTAATATAAATTAAACTTTATATGAAATATATTTTCAATTACACCCATTTTGATGATATCACAAATAAGCTTCAAATTAAGTTTTTTATATCGAATAAGCTACAATCATATATTTCAATCTAGTAATAAATAAATACATATTATTAATTTATACATTTGTTAATAATTAAAAATAACTATGGAATTAATTAAAACTTAGCTGTTGATCTAATTCTTAAAATGTTTGCCCAAATGAAACTTTATTTTCATTAGAACTAATTGTTGTGTACTTTAATCTGTTTTTTAGAAAAAAATTTAATAATGTTGAATAAAATAAAAGGTTTATATAATATGTAATTTACCGTTAAAAATGACTTAGCCATCTTGCAATGACCTAACTTTTTAACGCACAGGCGAACATGACATTTAATATTAATACTGAATTGAAATTCTATTCGATCGCTATAGAATAAATAGTATTCGACGCGAAAAAAGAAAGTGCTGTAATTTTATTCGAGTAGTGTTTGTGAGTAAATTACGTAGAAATATTGCAACTATTTTGGGGGCATTTCATCTTCATTTCGTATTTGAACATAAAGCAATTGACAACGTCATTTATTTCATTTCCTTTTGAAGAAAAATTATACGAACGATTTCAATCTATTTTGAAATAGAGAAAGATGTTGATTCGTTAAGAATCATGAGGTGCAGTTGCAAATTTTGACTGCCCTCAATAAATGCACGAAATGACCGAATTTCGGTTGAAGTTAATTATGTCACATGTAACTGATGAATAGTGACGAATAATATTTTTACTGACCGAAAAAAATCCCGTAACCAGAATACTTAGTAAAAGTGAAACACGAAAGGAAATATATCACGTGATACTTTCGTGATATTTTTTGATGGATTCCTAGGGGAAATCCAAATTTTTGTTGAATGAACATTGTCTGATATATTCAATAAATATAGCAGATTATAATTTGTAGATTATAGAATTATTTTCTTAATTATACAATTTTTATGCATTATTATTAATAAATGTAGCTATCGTAGTTATCAATATCTAATATTGATTTTGAACAGATCTTTTCTAGTTATACAAGTTATACAAATTTATCAGAAGGAAGCACATAAAAAGATAAATGGTAACATTGTTATTCAATTAGTGAAATGGTTTAACTTTTTCGGATTTGTATTTTTACACTTTACATAATTTGTTTGTTGGGAAAATCGCGCCAACCTCATAACTTGTATTACAGTAATTTCATCAAATTCTATTCAAAACAAACCTATTTATTAAAAAGAAAAATAAAAATGGGCATAATATTTTATCCTGTCATCAAAACAGTTAGGAAGCTGTTGGAGATCCTGTGATTTTTACGGTATTGGGCTTTTGGACGACTGGAGTTGTCGTAGGATATATCACAGCGGTCGCTCAGAGCTATGTAGATAGCATGAGTGCTATAAAAGGTTCGTTGCTCTTTCTTTTATAATTATGGCTTAAAGAAGGTATTTTGAAACCTACATCCTTGTTTCTGCAATAATGTTCAAGCATTAAAATCTAATTATCCCTTTTTGCTTATTCGGATTTTTGTTTATTTTTTTCTTTTTTTTTAAAAAAAAAAATATTCTATAAAGTAAAGTTTATAATTAAAAGGAATTATTTATTTTTCTTTTTTTTTGATGGCAAAATGTAACTTTGGTTATTATAAGGATTTAAAAAAACACATAAAACTAGTAGTACAAGTTGTTGGAGTCGACGGCTTAGTCAATCAAAATAGAGTCGACTCCTCCACTTTCCAAATGACTGAACCGTGACTGAGTCGCTGTTCCAAATTTGATTTTGAAATAATGTCAGAACATCATTTTAAAATAAAAGTTTCAGATTTCTATTCGAATGGGATTCTAATAACTTTATTTCTGATGAAAACTTATAATTATCAAATTAAGTTTAATAATTTTTGTTTAAATAATGGTTGCTAATTTCAGATGAAAGTCGCGACTCTGTCAACGATCGTGTTGACTGAAAAGGGTATAACGACTGGGATGGAAATTTGGCTTCGCTTAAATTAATCACTGCGCCATTTGACAATCGAATTCTTTGACAGTTCTATCAGTTCTGGAATTTCGGACCTTTCTGACATCAGAATTTAAAAGATTTTGTTTTGCTTTGCTTTGAATTTTCAATAAGATAGAAATAGATTTGTTCTTTTTCTTAAAGCCTATTACGGAGTACCGGTTGAGACATTAATAGTTGAAACCTTTGTATTTTTGTTAATTAATATTTTCCTTTTTCTTTAATATAATTCGCCAAGTATCGTTATCTCTCACATAATAAAATAAAATTAATAATCACCTCCCATACGAAATTATGAGGTGACACTACGCTACACTATCACATCAAAACTATAATGAACCTGAATATTATGATTTTAATTTGACGCTTTATTGACATTTTTTTTTGTTTTGGAATTAAATTCCTGAATAAAGTTTCATTTCCTTTAAAGACTTCAATTCTGTTCAAACATATTTTTTTTTTAATAATTACCAAAAATCATCTTTAACATTTATTCTAAGTTTCTAATAAAAAGATAATATATATTTATACGTTATCAACCGCTCAAGGAAAGGCTGGAATTGGATTAATTTTACTCGTCTATTTGTTATTAAGCATGTAGGTTATATTGGATACATGTTTACAGAATTCAAAAAAAAAATAATAATTGTTAGTTTTGTTGTGACTGAATTGATTTTCATCTGAAGTTGGAATTCAGATACTTTTCAGGCGTCTGTAACTGAAATTGGAATTCCAATTCCAGATACTTTTTTTGCTATTTGAATTCCAACTTCAGACAACATATAAAATCAATTTTGACCCCAAATTTTTTTTAACCAATTAATTGGACAAATGATAAAAAAAAATTTTAAATTTTTTTTTTTATATTTATATTATCTTATGAAATGTTTTTTATAATTTTTATCTGTTTAGTATATTAGTCAAAGGAGGTTGAATTTGAAAACCTAAGTAAAATTATTCAGTGGTTTCGAAAATAAGTGAATAAAAATTTTCATTATGATTGGATTAATAGTTGAAGAGTCATGAATGTTTTTTATAATTGTATTAACTCACGAAATTTTTTTTATTTTTTTTATTCAATGACTTCAAAGAATAATTTAAGCATTTTGATAAAAAGTAATCAACTTTAAAATCCTAAGTAAAGTTGTTTAGCTGATTTGAAAATAGGTGTATATAAATTTCATTATAACTGGTTTAATAATTATATAGTTATGACCATTTTTCTTAATTATTATATTATCTCACAAAATGTTTTTTTAATTATTTTATCTGTTTAGCATATTGGTCAAAGAAAGTTGACTTTGAAAGACTAAGTAAAGTTATTCAGCAATTTCGAAAATAGGTTAATATAAATTTTCATTATAGTTGGATTAATGGTTATAAAGTTATAAACATTTTAATATATCACAAATACAATTTTAAATTTTACAAAATTTTTAAAAATTGAATCAAAAAAAAATTTAATGCCAATTAATAAAAATCAATTAAATTATCATTTATTTATATTTAAATAATCTAATAATACTAGGAATGGGATCCGTTCAAAGTCCGAAGCATAGTATGGTATATAAATTATAATATCATATTTCACATGATTAATTATTTTGTAATACGAAAGATATAACATGTGATAACATAAACAAAATATCATTGGTTATCAGGTTTGCCAAATTTGGACGGACAGAATGACCTTGCATTTAAATGACCTAGAAGTAAAATGTTCTTCGCTATGCTTTGGACAATTACTTATTATATAATTTATTTTTAAATATATAATGTTTTAAATATGATAACATAATTTTTTTAAAAATAAAATTTAATTTAAATATATAATTTTGAATTTTTTTTTTTAAAATAAATAATTAAAAATGAAATAATTAATTAAAAAAAATAATTTTTAAATATAAAATCAAATATAATATAAATTATAAAAATAAACAAATCCTTGCTTTAGAATAGCGTATCCAACTGATACTAATTATGTATTTTCTATTTTAAATTAATTAACAAAAGTAATAATAAAATTATATATATTTATTAAATAAATAGCAATATTTTTGCAACAAGTAAGATGTATCCTAATGTTGCTAATATGCTAATACATTTTTTATTTTAACTAATTTTCTTCTAAAAAATATTTATAATAAAATTAATAATTGTTTATTAAATAAAAATATAAGAAAATTTATTTACTTAATTTCGAAAATTTTTAAATTTATTTTTTTAATTTTTTTTTTTTTTAAAAAAAAATACTGTTAAAAAAAATTATTTCAGAAAGAGGTTGTATTTATTTATATAAAATTTAATAATTTTTGAATAAAAAAAGAAATTTGGAATTTATTAAAATTAATATCAAGTATTCATAGTAGGACTTCCTGATGATTGGCCAAAAAAATAAATTAAATCAGCCATTATTTATATACTTTAGAGTACTTTTTTAGAAAATAAGGGTTGTATATAAAAAAAATGACATTTAGATTCCTTGAAACGTTGTCTAACTACTTGCAAAAGTAATTAGAAGTTAATGAAATAATACAAATAATATTATACCTAAAGAATCTGACAATATTATTCCTAAAAATGATAATAATAATGTAAAAGAAACTGCAGATAATATAACTATTACATGAGATTCAGTTATATGAAAATTTTTATTTCAATAATATTTTAAATTTTTAACACTAATAATAAAACAAACAGTTTGCTATTTTTAAAATATAAATAATAATAAAATGCATTTTTTATTACAAATTTTTCTCTAAAGATTTTCTTTTGAATTGTTAATTAATTGCTAATGTTACATACGCCTACTACGTTATGCTAACCTATAATTTGACACAGTAAAATTTTCCAATTATCAAGGCTATTTCAGGTTCCTGTGATCCAAATTCTTTAAACTTTAGATTATTTTGAAGCTAATGATGTTCTGCATCTTATCAAATTAGTTTGGTATTTTTATAACTTTTTATCATATTTTGTAGGCGATTGAAGTTTCAATTCTTTTATAATACTAATAATATATTAGAGGACTCACTGGATAGCTATGAATTCTTATATGATAACCTATCAATTTCTTACTTCCATTAGGTTTTCAGAACTAAAAACTAGTATTTTATAAGTTTTCAGCTCATTATCATTTCTCACGCTTCTTTGGCAATGTGGCCTCTCTAAGATTCTTTTATGATTATGTCACAAATAATTGACTTTATTATGTTTTGAATAACTATGCATTCAGTGATCAGAATTTCACGAAATTTGGCTTGATAAATGATCAGAAATTGCTGAATCCTGTCATTCAATTCTCATAAATGTTGGATTGGTAATTATTGATTATTTGCATTTCAATTTCGCTATAATAAGTTAGACTTTTTTCTTATTCATTCGAAAAAAGAAAATCTGGTTAATCTAACTGGATAAACTATCAGATCAATAAATCAAGATTGGCTATCTTTCACAATACTAGGGAGGGTCTATACTAAATTCTTATATTTAGATTATCTATTATAATTTTAGAATAGTAACCTTACAATCGAAGATAGCATATTTTTTTGACAATAATACTAATAAAAAATTCAATTGCAGATCATTTCTTTTATAAGAATTTTGATCAGCATTTTTATCATAGTAAATCTTATATTTATTACAATTTTAGATCCTAATTTGTAAATAAAAAATAATTTATTTTATGTTAAAATAATATGTAAATATAATATCTTGAATTTAAGAATGTTCTTATATAATTCTGCATTATTTTCAAATATATTACTTAAATTTTATAAATCCTTAATTCTATTATTAAGATTTATTATTATTTTAATTTCTTATAATAATCCTTTAACTTCAATTATTTAATTATTTACCATTTTTTTAAAAAATTAAAAATTATTATATTTGTTAAAATTTACTAATTAGAATTAAAATTTATATTTTACTTAATAGTCTTATCACTTCTATTATAAATAAATTATAATTATATAATGAATTTACTTACAAATTGTTTAAAATATTATAATAAATACATAATTGTTAATTATTTATATTTGTGACTTGATAATTTTTGATATTTGTTATAAATTATTTTTTATTAATTTATTAATAGAAAATATATTTGTTAAAAAAATAAATTTTGAGCCATATTATAAGTAAGATAATTTGTTAATTAATTATTATAATAAATTACAAATTCTTGATTTTAAGTATAAATTATAATATTCTAAATTAAAAATTAATATTTTTTTTATAATAAATAATAACGATAAATAAAATATAAATTTAAATTATCATATAAAAAAAGAAAATCAATTTAATCCAAAAAAAAATTAACTAAATAGATAAGATTCTCTCTACTTGAAAATAAAAAATAAACCTAAAAAATAATAATAAAGAAATAATATAATCCATAAATAATTTTTGGTTAAATTTTTTATTATTTATATTTGTAAATAATTTTTTTTTAAAAAAAAGAAATAATATATTATAAGATAAATAAATAAAAATCTATATCAATTTATTAAGTCTAATTATATTAACTTTATTAATTTTTTGATTTTACATTAGATTCAAATAAGTGAATATATAAGATTATTTGTAATTTCAGATTCTGCAATCTTAAATACCAAACTATAATGCAAAAAATATTATAGTTAACTAATTAGAAAATTTGAGCATATGTAATATTGTTAATAGTTACTTATAGTCTCTTAAAATTTACAAAGAATCTTTAAAAAACACATTACTTTAA